CTTCTTTTTCCTCCAACAACTGCCGTAATTTCTCTTCTTGTTCCTTTTCTTTTTCCTCCAACAAATGCTGTAATCTCTCTTCTTGTTTCTTTACTCGTTCTTCTTGTTTCTTTTCTCTTCTTCTTGTTTCTTTTGCTGTTCTTGTATTCCTGCCATCAAATCTGCTAAGCTGTAGTTTGATTTGTCACCTCTTGTTTCCATCTTCTTTTTTTTTATTTTCCATCCCACTTCTGACACCAATTTGTTACGTATCTGCTTGTTTGTTAATTTTCCGCAGAAATTCTTTTCAAGAAACTTCAGCGATACGAGTTCTTTCTTAATTAAAACTAGTTTATTATTTCTTGTTACAAACTTTGTAATACACTTAATTTCCACAGTCACTTTAACTTAAACACACGCTATAATTCACAACGATTCACGCACTTTTCTTACGGTCACTACCGCTCGCTTGACTCAATTATCTGTCTCTCTACCTCTCTATCTGCAATTATTTGCCGGGCTTATATACTAAAATAGAGGGTGCGTGAAAAAGACTAGAGTTGCCAGGAGCAGTCATGATCCTTCCGGAAACTCCAGCGTGCATGCTTCCAGCGTCGCGTGACTTCCGCTGTTGTAACAAAATGTTTTTTCCCAATCCTTTCGTTCAATGGCCTGGCATGGCCAGGTGGTTAGGGTGTTCGACTCGCTATCAGTGGGTTACTGGTTCGAATCTCTGTCCCACCAAATATGCTCGCCCTTTCAGCTGTGGGGGGTTATAATGTGACAGTCAATCCCACTATTCGTTGGTAAAAGAGTAGCCCAAGAGTTGGCGGTGGGTGGTGATGACTAGAGACCTTCCCTTTAGTCTTTCACCTAAATCAGTGACGGCTAACGCAGATAGCCCTCATGTAGCTTTGACTAAATGCCTTCCCTCTAGTCTTTCACCTATATCAGGGACGGCTAACGCGGATAGCCCTCATGTAGCTTTGCACGAAATTCAAACCAAACCAAACAATTTGCTCAGTTGCAACAAGGAAAAATATTAAACTATTCATTAAGATCCAATATGTGAGTGGTGGTACAAAAACAAGACAGTAATTTGAGAGTTATAATAATGTGTAGTTACAGGTGTTTCTAAAGAACTGAATAATTCTTCAAATTATGTGATAAAATAATAATTGCTATTTATGAGCCATTCTACACAAGAATTGTGGTATATATTATTCAACTGGTTTGTCTTATGTTAACTGATGTCTCAAATATTTTCCTTTAAATATATTTTTTTTATAGATATATGGACCAGTATTACTTAACTTACGTGAGGCCGCTTCCAGTCAAAAGATCTTGATGGGGTCCTACTAAAGAAGATTGTAGAGTCACAAGCAGGGAACTCTGGGTCTTCGAACAAAATTCCTTCTGCAATACATTGTTTACGGAGTTTGGAGAAGTCTTGAATTCGCTTAGCCTGAAGACCCGAACCACGTTCTCCAAACTGCAATTAAAAAAAGTTGTATTTAGACTAACAATAATTTAGACTTACTTGAATAAACTAGAAGGTCTTTCACGTGTATTATATTTCTATATATATTCCCTTGGGATCACTAGAGAACTTAGGATATTGATATCTTAAAAAAATTTACATCCTACAGCCTTGAAGACCTTAACCATGTTTTCAAAGATGTAGAAAAACAAAACGTCGTTTTGCCACTAAAACTTGGAAAACAAACACTTTTATTGAAGTTTAATCAATGCAGAATACGAAGAATATTTAAGCTATGCATTAACGTAAAGGAACCAATGAAAGAATTAATACATCAATAAGTTTACTAGTGGTTAAATATGATGTTCAAGTGGATAAATCATTACAGGAAAGAGAAAAGCATTACAATAACGGACTTAAAACGACTACCACGTGGCTGAAATAGACAGTTCAAGAGATGACGGAGCTATAAGCTAAAAGTTTGTACTTCAAAAAAACTCGGAGCCGTTTTATGAGATGCTATACCACGGCTGAAAATAAGTAAGAATAAAATGATTGTTAAATAAAAGAGTAATGAAAATAATATAATTTTTTACCTAGTACGAAAGGTGTGAAGTAAGTAAGACAGACAAAGGTAACATTTGGAAAATCCAAAAGTGAAACTTAATGTTTAACTGACACAGGAGATGTCAAAGAACAAAGATCATTTACATCAGAACTAAATTTAATACAATAAGGGTTAACAGTATTCAGAGTGGTAATTCTTTCATCTCCCTATCTTCTTTCGATAATAATCCAGTTTTGTTACTTAAAAAAATTTGTCTTTGAATGTATTTTTTTAAATGTTAGTAGAAGATATTAAATGCTCTCTAAAGGTTGTTTGAATTTGTCAAACATATTGGTAGTTACATGTTTACATTGTATGAAGTAGATGGCGTTTCGTGTAGCACAAGTGAACTATTTCTTGATTATATAAATTTTGCTTGTATTTTTCAAAGAAAGTATCCTTGGTTTTGATTAAGTATCAGATCTGACAGCAGACTTTATTACAAGGCCAGCACCCATATCTGTAGGGTTAATGAATCACAGGATATTTGAGGTTTTTTCAGAAGGATACAACAGGAATTTTGGATAATTTTTTTAAAACTTATTTAGTAGAAGTAGGTGGAAATTGTTTTTTTTATATATATAATGCACGAGATGTTCTTGATATTTGGAATAGTAAGTACTTACAAGAAGAATTCTATTATATAATTTAGTGTTAGACTGTTTGGAGTTTTTCGTTGAGTGTTGATGGCTTTTTTAATTTGTCTCTTAATCTCAGACACTTTATATTTTCTTTGTATCATGTTTATAACTATTACTAGTAGAGACTTACAAAACATCTGTGGCCAAATTTGTATCTTTACCGCAACAGTTCTTCTTTAAATCTATAATGATAAAAAAAACTTGTGTTTGACCATAGCTCTAAGAGAAAAGAACCTAGAAACCTGAAACTTTGTAAGCATACTAAGGGGATTCTGAGTGTGTGCACCTGGGTATTATTTTTTAGAGATTTTTTTTCTATAATAATAATAAAAGAACCTTTGTGTGTGTAACCGCCAAAGTTTCAAGAGGAAAGAATCTAGAGACCTGAAATTTTCCACCATACTAAGGAGATGCTGAGGGTGTGCACCTGGGTGTTATTTTTTAGATTGGTCTCAAAAAAGTTTGGCCAATTATTTGCCATATGACCCTTAATCCCCATAATTCTGCTTCCTGAAAGTCTATAGAACAGTATTATATTTTTGTCTAATCTTCACTTACTGAAGGAACAATATGTAGAGGTTTTCTGCCAAATACTCTTTTTCAACATACACATTGGAAGAAAATACAAATCTAAGAATTAAAAAAAAAAGTTGAATTAAACTAAGTTTGGGCAACGGCAACAACAACGGGAAGAAAAATATGAATCAGAGAATATTTGAGAATGAAAAGAATTCAAATAAAAACACAGGAAGAAGAAAAAGAACCAGAGAACCAAAAGTAAACATATTTGCTTTTAAAAATAGTTGAATTGAAGTAATTTTGGGAAATGGCAACAGACAAATCAATTAACGAATTGGCGCATTGAATCATGAAGAAACCTTACAATCCCGCAGCGGAGCATGGGTATTTTATGCTAATACATGAATAATACAGAATAATTCTAATCGCAGACACCGAAATCTATGATTCCACTTGTCTTAGGCCTAACAGTAGTCAAGCCTTTACTACATACGGTTTATATTCGATAAAGATAAGTCAACATTGTAACTTGTGTACGTTTTTTGCTTTACTTCAGTTAGGACTAAATTTTTACTATACTTAATTCTATCACTAAAGAACCTTATGATGTTATTCTACGACCTAAAGTTAGACCTTTTAAAAAACTTTGACAAGCTTTTAATATGTTGTTGTACTAAAGTATATTTACATCTACCTTTTGTTTACATCCGTTAAAATAAGTGCGCGCTCACTTTCAGGGCAGACAAAACTGAGTATTGTTATGACAGCGGAAGTCACGTGACGCTAGTAACACGTCATGAACTTCTAGAAGGATCCTGTCCCTTCCTGAATGCTCGAGCGTTAACTAGATTTC